TTGCATCTTGTTTGCAGTTTATTTATGTTTTCCTCTCTTACTTTTAATTACAAACCCTTTTGTGAAGCTTTTAATAAAATAATAAAAGTAAAGCATAAACTTTGCCTTTACCCCCCATGACCAATATAAGAGGGAGAACATGGCCATGGTGGCTACTAACGCAAAGTAGATGACAATAGAGATAGAATTTGGAAGAAATAAATCTTTGACCAAATTATATATTTCCATTAATATGAAAAAATGGTAAATTTGGCTTATCGGCTATTTAAAAAACTAATAATTTATTTAATTTTTTAGAAAAAATTATAAAATGCAGTGATTATATTTAAAAAATAAATATGTATTATGACTTGCATGATAAATAAAATAAAGATACACAAACTTAAAAATCGTAAAACAGATTGGCTTTTTCTAATTGAGAATTGTGTAAAATTTGATTGAACCCAAAGAAGGTGCATTATTGTGGGATCTATTATGAATCTTTGACTAGGAAGTTGTCGTTTTATGGTGTGATGTTGTTTTAATTGACATGATGGACTCAATCGTGATTCATGGGACCTTTGCTTGCCTCACTCAAAAAGGACATTGGGTCGTGGACTGATTATACAATGATGAAGATTTTTTAAAGTGGGTCGATGACTGTTGCCAACGTACAATTATAATGTGGAAAACGTAGTTAGCTAAGAGCTACACTGGGGCAGTGTCCAAAAGGGTTACGCCACTGAAGAAGTGTCTTTGTTTACCACATTTTTCTTTAGAATTTCTCATTTTGCAAATTGCACGGCGAATTTTGAACTTCAAATATTCTTGTAAGAGTTTTGATTTATTTAGACTATTGATATGTTTGATTATAGATTATTTTATTTGAGGCGGATAAAATCAGTATTTGTTTGATAATTTTTAAGAAGGTCTATAAAAAGTATATTTCAAATTTATAAATATAAATTTAATATAAAAATATAATTAATAATGAATTCAAATATGACCTAAAAATATTATTGAATGTAAACATAGACTTCATAAATTTTGAATATGTAGTTTTTAAATCTAAAATTTTATTATAACTTATTTACTATAGATCTTCATTTAATATATAACTTGAATTTTTTTTAAAATTGAACTTTATAAATGTATTATTTAAATTCTCAGAAGAGTTTTAAACTTTTATATAAACTTATAAATACTTAATTTTAAAACATTATCACAAAAACTTTACTACAATCTAATAATATTTAGAACAATTTTATTATAAACCAATTATGATATTGTATGTATTTGTTTAATTAGGTGTACTTGTTAAATTTAAAACTCTTTTAAAATTGTTTAAATTTGATTATTTTAATTACATTTAAAAAAAAAATCCTAACCTATTCAATAAATAAGTTTGTATGTCATAGGTCTTCAACACAGTACGATTTCTATTCCCCAATTATTTTCTTAGCAAAAAGATCAACGGATAGCTACATTTTTGTCTGATTTTTTTCACAAAAAGTATTTTTTTCTCTTCAATTAAAAAAAAAAGCGTTGATATTAATATATTAAATTTTGTAATTTTTAATACTAATTATTATATAAATTCTCATTACGGACTCTTAGATAAAAATTTAAATAAATTTATTTATTTATTATGAATGTTTAAGCCAGTTTGCATGTTTATGCAAGTTTGCTACGCAGTTTTCCTTGTTGGGCTTTTGTTACGTCAATTTCCATGATATATTTATTGGGCCATAACTAGAATGTTAATTTTATCCAATTTAGAGATATTATTCTGGAATTTTATAAATTCTGTGTTTCTGCCCATGTGTTTTCATAAAGAGATGTCATACAATTTCAGAATTTTAGATCCAAAAACTGCAGAAATCACTAATCAAACATCATCCAATAATAATAGAGCAAAAAGAAACAAAAAATATTAATAGGAGAGATGGAACTCGTTTGCACGATGATGATCATTGAATGATCTTTTTTTCATGTAGGTGAGTAAGGAGATGATCATGTTTGTGTGAGGGACTTCTCTTACACTGAATCGGAGGGTTTAAAATTATTATAAACGGTATTTTAAAAATAAAATATTACAAAAAATTTAATGGGGTGTGAAAAGAAACAAATAGATAAAAAAGTTATCTCCTCAAAAACAAAAAGAAAATTTCAGTATGGGCTATAATATGAGAGATCAAAGATCAATGGCGGCAAAACTAACAAATCAATATGAGAAAATCTCTAAAAAAATAATATAAAGAATAAATACTAACAAATCAAAAGTTAAAAGTAATTTATTTTTTAAATTTTTTAAAAAGAATTTTTAAAAATAGAAACATAAGTCAATTTTAATTTATTATACTACTTAATTTTTTACTTTTATAAATATTTATTAAGAAGTTTATCCACACTGAATCTTAAATTTAAGTATTTTTTAAATATACAAACGAGTATGTACTATGTGCACTAATAAAGTGTTTTTCAAATATAAGTGAAACACACCAAAAAAAAAATAAAATAAGAATTAAACACTATTAATCAAATTAGTAGACCACCGATGATATGCATCAATTAGCAGAAGTTGTGTTAAATACTTAAAGGGGTGTTTTTATTGTTTATAATTGTTTTATTATACTCAAACAAGATTGTATTTTAAAAAAATAGTGATAGTTTTAGCCGTTTAATAAAATTTAAAGAATCAAACATGTAAGTTTTCAAAACAAACTCACACTCTTATTTTTTTTATAACTATTAAAAATATAAATTAATTAGTATAATAGTTAACTGATTTCAATTATAATAATAATTTTAAAAAATACGTGTTTTATAAAGAAATATAATGTTTTTACTTTTTAAAATATTTTGGTCTTTATTTATTTTTATATAATTTATTAAATTAGAATATAGTTATTTAAAATTATATAACCATATCAAATTTTGTAAATAAAAAAAAAACAGTGAACAAGTTTTTCAACCTCAAGCCCAGCCTGCTTTGTTATGCCTAGTGATTGTTCAAAAAACCATAGACAATAACAAGGGGTTCAAACTTAAGTATAATTTTTGCCGTCATAAAAATGTAACACCACTTATTTTAAAAATAAATTTACAGAATAACACAATCCTTTAATTTTTAAGAGCATTATTTTCTTTAATACTTTAATCAATTGAGATATATAAAAAGAAATTATCTAATTATCACTTATTCCACTTAAATTTCACTATAATTTTATTCCATTTTTTCATTCTTTTCTATTTTATTATATTGTCCAAACAGAGTATTACTTCTTCTTCTTTTTTTCATCAGAATAGTGAGTAATAACAACTGGTACACTCACCCACCCCTGAAAAAGAAAAGAGAACAAAAAAGCCTAAACCATATACTGTTACTTACAAATTGCATCACCTTGTACGTATCAAATTGTTGACCCAAAAAAAATTAGAGACAACAGAAGTAATTACCAACAATAAACAGAGAAAAATCGTTTAATATCAATAAGAATGAGAATGAACAAAGCTCTAATAAAATACATTTAGTTTTAAATTAAATAATTAAAAGAATATTCATTATGAATTTAATTTACAGTATATTATAGTTTTAATGTGTTAAAAATTAAACATAGTCTTATTCGGTATTCCTATATGTTTAATTTAATAAAAATTATGAATGAACAACTCTACCATAACTGAACTGACCGCCTATGGGCTTCTTGCCAACATATTCTGTATATATTATCTTTTTAAGAATTTGTTAGGAGTTAACCCTTTTTCATATGCTATGTGATAGATCTAATTTATTGGTCTAGGAAATCTAAAATGTCTCTGTATTTATAATTTACTTCTCTCATAAAAAAACACTTTCCATTTACCATCACAAATATGCCAACAAAAATATTATCTGAGGCATATATATGTATATATGCGATAGTAAATTATTAGATCAAGCATTGAAGCTGATATTTTCATTTTGTTATTCTTGAAGTTCAAACAAATGCATGGCTATGCATGTGTGAATGGGACCCAATATGATCCTAAAATCCACCTGATTTTGACTCACATGGACACCATGTGTTTGATATTTTTGCAGAGAAGGAGAAGGGAATATGGCATACACCACTCATCCCATTATACACTAAATCAACTCCAACCCAATGAATTGACCCCCACTGCGCTATCACCACAAAACGAAACCATAATTTATAGCTTTCCTTGTTTATCTGTATGTTCTACATGTGTATCTTCCTCTGTCTCCTATTTTTAAGCTTTCCTGTCCTTGGGATTTGGATCTTCATCAACCATACATAGCTATTTTTGCCATAGCCTCAGCTAATAATTCAAAACTACTACTATTTTTTTTTGGGTAAACTTATCAATTTTAATTATTTTATCAAACGGGCGTGCCTCCTCTCTCTCTCTCTCTCTCTCTCTCTCTCTAGAAACTTTAAATTTCAACACAAGTACATAACGTCTCTATTTAATTATTTATCACAGCAATTTGAAAGTTTGAATATGAAATTGCTTGAAACAGAGGTTATGTAGCTGGCCACAGCTGGCAATCCGATTTCAAGTTGAAATTTTGGAAAGAGTTATTCAGTATTATATTATTGGATTTGAATACGACATGCTCACTTTACTTACTTTCCCCAGTTGCGGAAAAGTGTCAAATTTGAAAGTAATAATTGCATAAGGCTGCTATTTTGAATTTTTTTGTTTCTTGCCAATGCTTCTGGCTGGTCCAATGAGGACAAAATATTCAAACAAAATTTATGGCTAGTTCCCGACAGGGATTTGTTTGACAAAACATAAACATTTACTACCAAATGTCTTCCAAGAGACACTGCTTATTTTTTCAATAAATGAATTAATTTGAAGACAAAACTAAGGTGTAATTCTTTAGATGTTCCTTGGGCATTGTTAACGATATTCACGATCTAAATACCATTTTTTATTAAAACAAAACTCTAATTTTAATTTATAAATAATACTAACAAGTAGTCCATAACCTAAACTTATTTCTCTTTTCCAATAGTTAGGTTAATCACCACTCCACTCATGAAAGGTTGTTTGCAGTGGCACCCAACCGAACAAAACAGAACAATCAAAGTTAGAAGAACAAAATATATACATTAAGGTCTGAGGAAACCCACTTCCCAGGTCAGCAGTACATTTAATCAAAGCTTAGAAAAGGAAGCCGAGGAGACTTCCCTGAAGATCCAATGGCGAGGTCACATATCTACATAACTAGGCAGATACAAAAGAGCAAGAGCCTCTATAACCTCACATTACTAACCTACTACTAATTTAGCTCCAGAAGATGCATAGTACAGACTACAGAGGGAAGTGGATATTCATATTAGACGCCATTAACTTTGTTAGCATACACAATATTACATAAATATCCTCATTTTGCTTCACTCCATCATTTGCATAGTCTTAAGCCTCTTTGTAGCTTGAACAAATCCCACAATCGCCTGCAATTCGTCCATTTGCTTCACAATAAAGAGAAACACAATCTCAGAATATTGTATTAGCAAAACACTAGTCCCAGTTCTATATGAAACAGCAGGAAGCTTTCAAGCATGCCAATACTAATATTTCAAGATAATTCTTAGTGTCATGGTGCATTTTGAAAACATTGCATTTCAGAGAATATGAAAATTTTGTTTACTTGGGAATAGATTGGAACTGCAGATGAAGTTCATTGCTATAAAAGCATATTAGCAACCATACACTGTTTGAAGAATTACTAGCAAAACAGAAGACAAATGCCAATGCAGTCATTAATTTATTATTAGTACCTGTGCCATGAAATGCCTCTGAACAACATCTACAAGTTGTTCTTTTGATGGGTTTGGAACAACATCAACCTGTAAATCCATTTTAGATGTTCAGAACAATGAAAAGCCAGCATCATAAGCATTTTTTTTCATGAGACGAAAACCAAACATATGAGTCCATGATTTACCAGATTGAAGTGTCGCCAATATCTCCACAATGCAGCCATTTCCAATTTGCTTAAGTCAACCTTCTGCATAAAATATTTAAACATAATTTCAAAAGTTGAAGCAGCAACAAATAAATTCTGAACCATGAAGCATTTCAAAAGTGGCAAAACCAATTATTGAAGAAATTAAACAATAGTGTTGAAATACCGTCCACCCATGAGACATAGAAATGGATTCCTTGGACTGCCAATCACCAGAGAAGGACCTGCTCGAGCTCATATGAGATGATCCCAACGATTTATGCATTTTGTGCCTTGATTTGTGCGACTTTCGATTGTTGTCCGATGCTAAGAAATCAAATCAAACATAGTCCAAACATAATCAGAAATAGTGGTGGAGCCAATGTATAAAAAGAAGGAAAGACAAAAGAGAGAAATAGCAAAAAGCAAAAGGCAAAGAAAAAATAACACAAACAGATCCAATGTTACCACATACTCTATCGCTTGCCAAACTCAGTCAGAGACATGGAATGAAGATAGCCAAACACAACAATTAACTAAAACATAACAGTATTACTGAGCATCCCCTAACTTTCGTGCTAGGCGTGCAAGTGTGAATTGTACCAGAAACAATGAACATTAACACGAAGAAAACGGGGAGTAAAACTTATCAGGACCTACAAATCATAATTCTAACATAAGTTAACATGCAAGACAATAATGACCCATATATTCTTTACAAATCCACACATAATTTCCAAAAAGTTAAAAACAATTTGGAAAAATGGAGTAATAAAGGAACTCTTGAAATTGAAACTCACCCATATCTGATCCATTCCACTGCATATTTTCAAATTCAAGGTCGTCATCCTCCTCATTCCCAGTGGGTGCTTCAATCACACTAAGAGCATTCCTCTGTAGCTTCACTTCAATGCCGTTGGTAAGAACCTTCAATTTTTTGAACCAAAGCACAATGTAAAATAGTCATCCATGCTACAACAAAGGCTTTCTAAAAGAATCCAAATAATAAATCAAATGAAATGCTGGAAAACAAACACAACTATAGATGAAAATAATTCAGATGAAAACAGGATATGAAGGACTTCTGAATTCATTATATGCAATTTTGTCCAGAAAGAAGATGAAGAGTCATAATCAGTACATGCATGTAGGCAATAATAGTCATAGATAAAATATAAACGCCATTCTAAGAAAACCCATCACGCAAAAATAGTTAAGAAAGCATAGATTACCGAAAATGAGTCAAATATTCACTTCTGAACAAAGACCTTATTGAGCAAACAAAAATTAATATCCATTCAATAATTACAAATATCAGAACCCAAGCAAAAATCATTACCTATGCTCTCTCGATCACTAAACCAAACAAAAGACACAAAAAACAACTGATCGTTACCGAGGACCACCTAAATCACCAGATCCACTGAGAAAGTAGTAGTATATGCAATGGATACCCACAAGTATGAATAAAAAATTACGACCCAAATTTTCAAATCCTATATAAAGTAACTCTATTTAAATTGCCACATAGTGAAGCATTTATATGAAAGTTTTTGCGTCTGAAGAACAAAGTGAAAATTAAAAATTTATATTAGAATTTGGGTTATTGAAGTTATGAAAAAAATACTAACAAATCATTTTTTTTTTAAGAAAAAGACCGACGTTGCTTTAAATCACTTCCTATAAACACATAAAACATTATGTTAAGAATACAACAATAGTACAACCAAATAATAATAATAAAATAAATAAAAAGAAACCCACATTAGCAAAACGAAATTAGAATAAGAGAAAACCAAAATTGGCAAAGAAATTACCAGCCAATGCCACCCGCCTAACCCAACAGCCTTCTTAACAACACCTTGAAGACCAACGAGCACGGATTTGGTGCGGTTGTTTCCAGTTACAACCACTTTGGTGTGACGAGGAAGCACAGAGAGCTCTTCCTCGCTACTATCTCCACAGTTCTGCAACTGTGAGAACCCACCATTCACTGAACTCTCCATTGCTTCAAGCATTTTCACTCAGCAACAAAAAAAAAACGGTTAAAAATGAGGCAAATTAAAGATCGAAACCGCGTTCGCTGAGAATATCATGCATTGCTTATGAAGTGCGTGAGAATTTTGGCAGCGGAAAGGGATAGGATAGAGGAGAAAAAGTATGAGAATTTCGCAGGGATGAAAAAGAGAAGGCACGTTTGGGTGTGAGACAGAGCAGAAGAGAGAGAAAGTAATGAAAACATGTTGGTATGAATCCCGACGAGAGGGAATGAACGAATGGATTAGTGCCACGTCATCGTTGGAGGTTGGGGTCTTCAATCATGCGCTGAGAGAGAGAAGACATGATGCAACACCGCACTAATGTGGGTTTGGTTTTGAGAAGTTACTCCGGTTGACTTGTTGACTTTGCGCTATTTCGTTTGCATCAACTATATTTCCGAAATTACTCTATTCTCCTTCCCTCTTTTTCGTACAATTATTATTTTCTTTCTACAATTATAAATTGTTTCCAGCAACAAGCTTTTTCTAAACAAATACAACTGAGTTTCTTTTGTTAGAAAATTGGATTCTAGAGCATTGAGCAATGTTTCCCACATTTCATAATATTTTAACACAAGTACCTTCTTAAGCCCGTATTTGTTTATAACAATGTCGTGTTGTCATTTTTTTCCATTGTCTTGTCAAACAGTAATTGCATTTTAGTGATATCAGAATGTTGTTGAGAATAAATCCTATTTGCGATGTGCAAAAAGTCTCGTGTTTAAATTTAAGAAATAAAGTGCAACAATTTTTCTCAGCATTATTCAGTGTGAGAAAAGAAATTTTCTTCTTATATGACTTTGGATTCCAGAGCTGATGAAACAGTAACCTTTTAACCACAATTCGAAATGTTATCTCTAAATCAACACTTTATGCTACTAATAAGTTGCCAATTTAAGTTCTATGAAATCAAACAGTGAAAATATTATAGAAACAAGTCTACCATGTTTGAAAAATAAAAACTTGTCAAAATATCTAGACCTTAACTTATAGCGCAAATATTATAATGTCATTCAAAATTTTGATAAAACAAATACCATTCTATACCTGCCCCAAACCAATATTCAAAAGATACCTAGACACTTCGTAAATATGATAAAGAAATGTCCAATTACTAACAATTTTAAATCTAAGAAAATACCAACTAATATAGTTTTGTTGGCCGTTAGTACCATTAAGTACTATATTGATATTTAATGTCAACCTCCAACTATAAAACACCAACTTGCCATGATGGATCACTTGCTAATCTAATAATGGATGCATCCACTATTACAAAAGTAAATAAAATAGCTATCACACGCTATTATATTTTGAAACAATAGTTGCACCGAAAGATATATAATTAAAGTGGACATTTGTTGTTGAAGAATAATTAAAAAACTACTAACAACCTTTTTTTGACAATTTTTTATTTATAATTCTTTAAATTATATTATAAAAATTAAATCGTAATTAAAAAAACAGTTAAATTTTAAGGGGTAAGGGGTGACTTTGTCAATTAGCAGAATGATTCAATAAAAGAAATGAAGCAACGTAGAATAGAGAACGTAAAGAAAGAGACACCCGATATTCGTCGGAGGGTCCCACGTGTACAGAAATTTGTACCTGTCGTCGGTGTTGTCCTCTCCAACACGGGAAATTTCCACTCACGCGCTCTGTGCTGTCTGTCGCCCACAGCTTCAAACACGCAAAACAAATTTAAATTTTAGATCTTTGTAAATGTTAAAGTATATTAATAAAATTAATTTTTATCATATTTAATATAATAAAAAATGAGCATAATTTTTTCTCTGTTTAGGTCTATTGCACTTATTGCATGACACAGAAAAGTCAAATTTAATAATATAAAGTGTCCCCTCTATCTCCCGCCAGCTACTTTACCTGCATCTGATTTTCCCGCCAAAAGGGAGCAACATGAGCCGTGGATCTTTGGCTGTGACTCATCATTTGTGGCCACTGTTGCATCAATTCGGCGCTAATCCAGCCCTTAAATTTCCTGAATGAAAAATAAGAAAAATGAATCCTTAACAGTAACAAAGAAAAGCACAATCCCTTAATCTCTATTGATTGTGATATTTATAGTTTTTTAAAATAATATATTTAAAAAAGGAGGGAACTTTACCTTTTGGACAAAAACGGCACATGTTGAGACTTAAGACGAAAACATTTTAAATAAAAAATGTTCAGAGCAAGGAGTTGATTTTTTCAAAGTTAAAAACTGAACAATTTAAAAATAATGAATAAAATTATAAAAAAATTGAAATTATTAACTATGGTTTTGTGGGGGAAGAGAATAAAAATCCAATATTAAGTACATGCTATGAAAAAGGAGGGACTGAGAAAGAAAACGATGTCGCGGATAATACGGATGATCTGCACACTGGTTGGTTGACGCGTGTCTGGATTATTAGTAGGGTGTGGCCCCTCAACGAAAGTGAAAGATCCTCAACGCTTAAAGCATACCTGGACCTCTTTTAACTTGTTCCCATTATTTTTAGGATAAAAAACCCAGTTACGTGATCCCACCCTGGGGGTATTTAAATGAGTTATTATAGAAATTTATGAAACAGTAATTATATTTTCACACAATCAAAATATAAATAAAAAAGGATATATATATTAAGTGTGAAATTTTATAACTTACATTCTTTAATAATTTTTAAAAAATATATAATTAATTGATTCAAATTTCTTTTTATACATCAACTAATTTAACTTTTTATTTTATTTGAAATTTTTATCAAATAAATTAATTTTATAAAATTTTATAAACAAAATTAATAAATATTTCATCATATTATTTTATTTAATAAATATTTAAAATATCCAATAAATATCAAATTTTACATACCATACTTACAAATGTTTAAATTATATAAAATTTTAAATGTGTAATTACAAAAATAATATACAATGATTTAACCTTGAATATATCAATTTTACATTTTATAAAATGTTATAAAAGTAAGTGAGGGTAGATAAAATATAAAATATTATTTAAATATTTTATATATAGCTTATTTATAAAAGTAAAGTACTTTAAATCTTTTTTTGATAAATAGTTATATTTGATATTAATTAATATTATAAATTGTTATTATTATTAAAAATTAATATTTGAAATAATATTATATATTTTAATTTATTTTGTTATCATTTGATTTAAAGATTTTTTTTCTTTTATATTTGATATTAGTTAACATTTTTACACAAAAAACTTCACTTAAAAAGTCAAACTTGATACAAAGTTACAGAAAGTAAGATATTTTTCTAAAACCTAATGACAACAAATTTAACCCCACTATAAATTAATGGGGTAATTGTAAAGGAGTAGGTTGTAAAAGTTGTCGATTAAGGTATATTTGTTACAAACCTAAGTAAAAAATGACTAAGAGAAAATAGTTGCATTGTGGTAAATGTTTCCACTCTAAAAGTATATTTATGACAAAACTCTAATACAATTCTATATTTTACTTTGCTCCCTAAGATTTACACATCTTTGCAACTAGATCCGTGCACTTAATGCTAGTAGTGTTACAAATGAGGTTCATAACAATGAGGAGAAAATAATAAAAAATGAATAAAAGAGATAAACTTAAAAATTTTATACCAAAAGACGTACATCTCTTTATATAATTACAAGAGTATCAAAATATGACTATTAAAAATTAATTCATATTTATATAATTTTAATAGATAGATTATTATATGAGAATAAGAAATTAAGAAGAAAAATGAAGTTTAATATAATTGACTTGAGTGTCATTATTCTAACAATCTATTACTAGCGACACTTAATACTCAATTAATCAATGAATATTTTGGGTTAGGAAATAATTTTGCACTTGAAGTGTTAATGTTTATTAAATTAAATTAACACCTGGTGATGTGAGGTGATACCACATGTCCAATAAATAAATTTATTTTGAACATCTTAAACTTAAGATAAGAGCCTCACAATATGCACTCTACCTTTAAAATTGTGCTGATTCTATGATGAAATATTTACACAAATATTTTAGGTCATTATACACGTTAATAAGCTCACAAATATTTAAAAAATATTGATTAAGAGCATGTTTAATTTTTCTTTTAAAAATAATTTGTTGTTTTTAAAATTAAAATACAATATAAATTTATATTGTGTTTTATTTATAAAAAATAGAAAAAAATTTCCTAAAAAAAAAATCAAACACACTATAAGTCTTTTATAGAAGGTGAATTATACCTTTATATTCATGTAAGCATATACGTTAAGTGAATCTTTATGGTACCAATCAAATAATAGGTTATATATCTATTAAAAATTAATTGTTCAACCTTAGATCAAGCATTACCACACACTATAGGAATAAGAAATGTAATGCATAGAAGTATTCATATAGCTTCATTTTATCACTATTTGGGTTTTCACTATACTTTCCTCCACTTGAGTTTTTAAACTCATCCACACGTTGAGAACAAAATTTCTTAGGCAATCATTTTTAAAAAGGGTTTGCAAATTTTTTTCACGTTTTCATATACTCACTCAAGTGGGGATAACACCAATTTTATTTAAGTGTTTCACAACACTATGTTTAGCATGTGTAATATTTATTAGGCCTCTTAGTCATCCTACTTATTGACCTCTAAGTTCAAGAGGTATAAATTTTGATTTGACAGTAGATCTCATTAAGCATGCTTGTTAAACTAATTTTTAAGAGATTGCACCACATCTTACTAAAGTAATAATAGTTAAACTTGTTTGAAATTCAATTTGCATTACATCTCCCTTATAAATTGTAGGAATGTTAGTCAGATGCAAATATCAATTCGATATCTTTCTTAAATACTTTAATAATTACAAAAGGACATTTCAATAGTTGTCATCAAAATTAAAATTATGAGTATGTCTACTCAATTTACTTATAACACATGCAATAGCAAATTTGGTATGCTTCATAAAATATATGATACCATCAATTATTTTAGTATATTTAAATTGAGATATGCTAATTTTTTATAAAAACTTCTTAATTCCAATGATCACCAACACATGCAAACTACTCATTTTTAATCACTCAATTTAATATTTGTTTCAACAAAATTTATTGTAATATTGTAATTTTTTTAAAATAAAACAAACTAAATACATGCTTACTATAATATTAATATCATTTATATGACAAAGAATTGTGCTAATTAAGTTGAAAAGTTACATGATTGAAGTGTTTGTTAAGTTTAGTTTAAAAAAAATATATATATTTTTACTTTTTTTTTCAAATTCTTTTAAAAAACATTTTTTTATTTAAGCTTAAACTTTTTGAAACATGAATTAAGTATTTCATTGAATTTATGTTGTATTATATATATATATATATACACACACACACCAGACCTATTTAACAGAAAAAATTGGGCGAGTTAAGAATCGTATTAATTTTATTTATTTACTCGACTTATATTAAAATACCTATATATCCTCATTGCATATACCACAGTTAATAACCAGAAAATTTTATAAAATTTAGAATAAAGAGTCTGGGGTTTTCTGACCACAATAAAAAGGATAAAATCCCTTTAAATTAAACTTGTTTTCAAATTGAGTATGTAAAAACATATTCACTTTTTAATTTAACTTAGAATTTATAAAAATACTAAATTATTAAAAATTGATGATAAATATTTATTAATTATGAATTTTGAAATTAAATATACTTTAAAGAATATTCTGTGATAATGATAAATGAAGAATTTGCGACCATACAGATCTCTATAATATGAACATTATTAGTTTGGTGTAATGAGTCAACTAAAGACGTCATTAATAGAAGAAACGAATTAAAGCATTTTCTATTGTCATCTTTAATTTGTTGTTTCTCCTCTTTTAAACTTGCATGTAAATGTAATGGGAAAGCGGAGAAAGTTCGATTGCATTCAGTTAACTTAATAAACAAGAAAAGAAAAAAAGTAAAAATTGTATGATGGGCAATGAACAAAAAAATTACCATTTAGTAGATTTAGAAAACAAACCTTAACAAGAAATGATATTGCTAACTAGAAGAAAAGAAAATCATAGATCGCAAAAAAAAAAATAATAAATGACCATAGGGGCTAAGAATGGACCAAACGAGAGGTCTCCATTTTCCATTATAGAAGCTTCTATGTTCCCTCTTTGCCTCTTTCTTCATCTCTCCTTGCTTTCTTTTCAATCTCTCTCTCTCTCTCTCTCTTTTACTGTAAATACAACTCACAATATTAAAAAATAAATACCGAAAATTAAAATACTGTAATCATTTTTTAATATTAGTCTTTCATTTTCATAGTTAGATTTAATTTAATTTTTTTATGTCTTGTTATTAATATGAGTGAGTAAAAACCTGTTACAGTTGAAAAAAAGTACAAATTCTGTTGGTTTAAAATCACTACAGTTCAAAAAATACTAAATGCTCGTTTGTTCATAATTTAATTTAAGAAATTCTAACTTATAATTAAAAATTGCTAAATATCAAGAGCATTTTAACGATATACAATATATATATATATATATATATATATATATAAAGTTATATTTGAATGAGAGATTTTAAAATTATAAAAAAAATATGAAAGCAATAATAAATGATGCTTAGAGTGAAAGTGAAATCTGTGAGGGGTTAGGAAAATAAATATAAAAAGTTGAGTATATTAGAAAGAATTTTGATTTATTTTAAAAATAATTTATTTGACATAAAAATTATTTGATTAAAATTATATAATATTTTAAAACTAATTTTTCTTATTATACAAGTATATGATAATACAAATTTTTAAATATTTTATCCAAATACAACCTAAAGGATATAGCAAGCTTTAAACTTTTCTCTTCTATTTCATTTTTTTTTCCTTTCATTCCATATAAGTACAAGCTTGAAGGTGACTCCAATGAGTTTTTCTTTTTTTCTTTTTTAATTATCACAGTTTTAAAAATGATTTAAATAAGTTTGAATGTAAAAAAAATGTAATAAAAAGATAAAAAAAAAAGATAAATAGTAAAAAAAAGTGATAAACATGCAGAAGAAAAATAAAGAAAATCTCAACAAGAGTAATAAAAATCCACCGTACATAATAAAAAGCCTAAAAAAAAAAAAAAACTCTGCGTGAGGTTGGTGGGCTGCTTCTCTGTTAAATGACATAAAGCCTGCTAATGTCCAATTGAGATGAGTGAAACTGGGCCAATTTCAAAAGCCCAACCCATTAGCCCAAATGATTATTTATTATTACATATAATAATGATTTCCTAAAACCCGGTGAGGAAACGTTCACACTCAGCAGCAATGAGCGAGGAACTGAGCGTGATGGAGGACTCCCAAAACCTTTCCTTGTTCTATGAATGTGGCATATACTTCTTCGAGGATTCAAACGCCGTTTTCATGGATCCCGTCCGCGTCCTCAACCGTTCCTACAATCGCTTCAGGGTTTCTCCTTCTAACTACTACTCTCGTTTTTTCAAATCACCTATCCCCAACCCCGTTTCCACCGCTACTTCCTCTCCCGCAAAACGAAAACGGAAACGGAAACCGAAAGAACCTCCACCTCTGAACCAGAGAGAACAAATTGCCCTGCAGCGTCACAACGTACATTAACATGACGCTTACTTTATCTAATTTTATTGTGATTGTAAAATGACGTTGACATGCGTTTTATGCAGGAAGCGAGGCCTTTGTTGTTGGAGGCACAGGAGCGTTTGGTAAAATCAAATGAACTTTTGGATGCTTTGAGCACTTTCAGAAGTGATTCTCGCGGCACGGTGAGGGAGTGTGAGGGTTCCCAACACTCTTTTGTTCAACTGGGACGTGAAGCGCCCTTACTTGAGGTAACGCTAAATTCACGTGTCTGTCACCCTGACGCTGACCCTCACCACCCTCCAAACGACTTTGAAGGTGAGATCAGATATGTTTGTTTGTTCTTCCACTCTTGGCTTGATTCTCGACGTTCATGTAGTTTAGTATTTTGCATTGGTAAGGCTTTGTTTCGGTTAATAATTATAAGTAGAATTTAATAAAATTCAGTATGACGGAATGGAATAAAATTACCATTCTATTGTTTGAAAATTTTGTGATGAAATGGAGCATGGTTTCTGTTTCGGCAGTTTGGATGAGTTTATGGAAATAGTTTATGATTCTTGTAACCTCTTTTTTAGCTTATTTCGATAAGCTTTTTGGTATACCTAATCAAAGTAAGCTGTTTTCGTCTTATTCCATTAAGTTTCATGATTAAATTTATGACATAAGTCATCATTTTAAAACAGCTTATTAAATTAGTGCTTAATTAAGTTGTATATCCAAATGCACCCTAATTGTTTGGGAAAGTGAATGGAATAGTGTTGACTGCTGCTATTATGAAACAGTAGGTTGGTTCTATAATGTAAACAGGTGTTTCATTAACAGTTTTAACAATTGACGACTAACTATCGATTGATTTCATTTCCTTCCTTTTCATCTTTTTTTATCAATTCAAACATAGCCTTTAATTATGAAGTTACATGTGATTTACACTTTTTTAATGTCAAGGTTGAGATACCTGTTTTTATGTGCTACCTATTAGATTGTGTTTCTTCTAGCATTGGTGAAATGTTGGACTCTTTATTAGTTATATTGTGTGGTGTTGGTTGAGTGACTGAAAGCTTACTGCATGAATGCAATTTTTTTATTTCTCAGAGTCGCCAAGTGTGTGCTGTGAACAGAGGGTACTCCCTGCATTCAATAATTTGGTAGCTAATGACACCAAAGATGATGTTGTGGCTGAAATTTTGAACAATCATTATATAATACCTCGAGAGAGTTGCTTTTACATGGTATGTTAAAACCTCCATGATAATAGTTGCAATGTGTTTGATTTTCAAATGTTGTTTCTGTTTTAGTCTCTTCTTCTTTGGCTCTTCTTTTGCATTGAAGAATTCTTTCTTTCTTAGGTTTTTAGTTTATTAAACTTTTATCCCCTGATCCAACGGTGTGTATCTTACATGTTATAATATTTATTTGTTTTCATATGTGGAAGTCTGATCTGAGACAGATTCGCAATCTACTTCCTGGTAATGGTTGCATATAAAACTCAATTTTATTCCTTCTTATATGTCTTGGTACTTCTTCATGTACAATTACTGTCTGAGATTGATACCAAAATGTAAGTGTTTACTTATAAGCCAGAATATCCTTCATGGAAAGAACAGAAATCGTTTTTTGTTGATAATTCTGATTACAAGCCTTTCTTTTGACTTTAAATAATTATTCTCAAAAGTTGCATGTCATGTTAATGGAGCTATCTTGACTTCATCAAATTATGCTAGATGAAAGTTATCTGTTGGTGAAATTCTTTGTGGCATTTCTCAGAGTACCTTTTGTGTTTAGTTGGTCAAGTAGGGGGGTGGAGTGGGGTGTTGTCTTTCATATTTAATTGGGCTTTTCTTTAATTAATTTAAGCAGCTCATGCTGATTCTGGTTTCAATCTCATAATTGTGGATCCACCTTGGGAAAATGCTAGCGCCCACCAGAAATCCAGGTATATAATATGTCACACTATGTTTTGCTGATGTAGCATCTACAAATTACCTGTACCATATATTGTCTGATTGAAGTAGAGATTTCTACGTGAGGTAATTTATCCTTTCATTAGCTTTGAGGATATGTCCTGCTTCTCTTTGATCTTTAATGTTCAGATACATATCCCTCCCAGATCCTATGAAGAAGTTAAAACTTTTATCCATTTATTCTGTTTTGGTTTTTCTTTTTTACTTTTTTGGGGTGGGGTTTGGTAGATTGCTGCATGAAAATGAGCTGTTTTTTTAGTTAATTGATTTAAAGGATGGATTTATTTCAATAACTATCCATATATATGAAGATAGCTCAGACTCACTGGTGAACTTAATGACTGTTACTCAGTTTAAACTGGCTCAGAAATGTAACTTGCTTGATAGAAGTCTTGGTCATAATGTCATCAATGCAGGTACCCAACCTTGCCCAACAGGTACTTTTTATCCCTTCCTATTAAGCAGCTTACTCACACTGAAGGAGCACTTGTAGCCTTATGGGTGACCAACAGAGAGAAGCTACGTAGTTTTGTTGAGAGAGAACTTTTTCCTGCCTGGGGAGTCAGCTTTGCTGCTAATTTTTATTGGTTAAAGGTGATCTCTTGGTTACTCTCCCTTGCTTGTCATACAAGTGTGTGATGTCATTCCAATCTCTGGTATTTTTATGTTGATTGCAGGTGAAAGAAAATGGATCCTTGATTTGTGATTTAGATCTATTCCATCATAGGCCATATGAATGTCTTATCTTGGGATACAGTCCTGGGAAGGTCAGGTTTTGCAATATTTATTTAGGCCTTCTGAGTTCTGACTATCAGATTCACTCCTCTGCCCCTTCTCTGGTTATAGTTCTCACATTTATTCTTTTTTACTTTCTAGGTAAGTAATACCAATGTCCAACCAAAATTTAAGCCTGTGAAGAATGATCGTGTCATTATGAGCATTCCTGCGGATTACTCAAGGAAGCCCCCAATTGCAGGTATTCTTGTCTGTTTTAATATTTGATATTTTCACTTTATGAGAAATACGCGAGTAAGTTGTACTGAAAAAGTTAGTAGATGATTTGAATGCTTAAGCTCCTTTTCTCGGTGCGCTAATGTGGTCAGATTTATTGCTGGAGTACATTCCTGGGCTCAAACCTCCCCGATGTATAGAGCTATTTGCTAGAGAAATTATGGCTGGATGGGTTGCTTGGGGAAATGAACCCCTTTGCTTTCAAGATTCTAGATATTTTGTCAAAGTGATGGATAAATGAATTCTGAGAAAAGAGATCCCGTCCTTGCTGATAATATTAATCTGTGGTCATGTCTGAATCATCTGCAGCATCTATTTTGTGCGTCCCTTGCTCTATAAAACTCGACTCAAGAGTTTTAGAACCAAGTGCGATGCTTCTTGATTCTTGAGTGCAAAAATGAAATAAAATGGAGAAGGGGATATGATGGTCATGGTTTGGTGAAGCATGCCCAAGAGAAGAGGAAAATTGAATTCTGTGACGAGTAAAGGAGTACTTGGATGGATTTATGAAAATAGTTTATAATTCTTATAATTTTTAAACTTAATATTTTTCAATATAGTTTATCAAAATAATATTTTTTTTATTTTAAATTAGTTTTACCGTTAAATTTATGACATAAGTATTTTTGTGATAAAACTTCAGTAAACAAGTGTTTAATTAAGTTAATTTTTAAATTCACCTTTAATGGGTTATATTTTGCCATCAAACTCAACTACCGTTGTAAAATTTAATTAACCAAAGTAAAAGTATTGATAAAATATTTAGGTGACGTCTTTTATATATAGTATAGGTTAAATTAATATTTTTGTCTTCAAACTTGAAAGTAAGTTCTGATTTTGTCTTTTTTTTTTTTTTTTTAGTTCTTTAATTTATAAAGATATTTGAATAAGTTATTTTGTCATTTTTATTATATGTATTGTGTGATTATTGTTTGTCGTTTTCTTCAACTTCTTTTGCTTTCTTCTCCTCCTCATGTTCATCTTTTTATCTATTTTCTTTTTCTCTCTTCTCCTTTCTTTTCTTTTTTGTATTCAAACCCCTCACATTGGTAGGCTGTCGAGCAATGTTTGTGATTCAACATCTGAGTCTGTCTAGAACTGCATTTCCAAAAGAGCCAACAAGTGTGTGATTCACGGAATGCATTACAAAAAATCTTTAGTTAAACTTCCAAATATGATAGTTTACTAGTGATTTATTAAAACAATTAAATTATAGTAGTAAACATTGATTTATTTTCCAATTTATTACAAATTTGGTAATACAAAATATTTTAAAAAATTACTTTTTCTTCTTGCCAAGAATGACAACCCTCTTACCCTTTAAGGTCCTGCAATTGTTCTTGGTATATAGACTTTTGCAAGGAATTTCTTGAATATGCCTAATTCCTCTATAGCACTAAATCTTCTTTTGTCTCTTTATATTAAGCGCATAAATTCGTCTATTAACTTCTAGAGATAGAACAGTAGAAAAGAAAATGTGAGAAAAAAGAGAAGGAAGAAGAAAAAAAGAGATAAGAAAATTAACATAAAAGGACAGATATATGCACAAGACAATGAATAGTGCTTGTACAATACATATGGTAAAAAAAATTAACAAAGTTAATATTTTTAACGAAAAATAACATATTTAAAATATTTATATAAATTAAAAAAAAATAAAAAGGACAAAAAATTTAAAGAATTAAATCAAAACTTATCTTAAAATTGAAAGATAAAAACACTAATTTAGTTTTTATTATATTAATGTATCAGTCATATTTTTTGGAAAAACAGTTATACTTGGACACAATTCATGAGAAAAATCAATAAGGTTATTTTTGTCATTTTAATTAAATTGAGGGCCATTTAATGTGTAAAAATTAGAAAATAACTATTATTTTAATAATTTTACAACCTAAAACAATTTAAATTATTTTTATGACTTCACTTATTAACAAGTAGGAACATTTTTTTCTTCATACCCAATAATGTTGGTTTCTTCTTGCGATATATCAATCCCATTTTAGTAGAATAATAAGTTTAATACAGTACTTAAGTTGTGATTTTTTTTTTCGTCCAATAAATTAATTTTTTAGGTTGAGTTTTTTCTTCTTTTCTCAGGTAAGGGAAACGAAAAGATATACTGAAGCTTGCTTATGTTGTGGGAGAGCGGCTTTGAACATTGCCAGGGAATTGGTTGCTCAGTGTTGGGATATGTCCTAATTATGTTTGTCACCCATGAGAACTGGTTGGCATTGATTTTGTTAAATTCTACTGTGATATAATAAAGGAAATGAAAATGCATTAAATTGCTGTATCTTGATTCTTGAAGCAAATTTTAGCCTTTTTTCCGTGCTGTGTAGCATATTCAAAGTATTTATTTTTTAAATGATTATTTATTAAAATAATTCAAAAATAAAATTATTTTCTTGTATAAATTTTTTTTGTCAATCACTACTAGTTTGAGATATAAAACTTATTTTTATAAAAAGATAACTTCACATGTCAGTGAGATAAAATTTCTTTTAAAACAATTTTGTATATAATATAGTCAAAACTCAAAATAATAACGAGTGTCAAAATTTTATATAATTTCATTTTTACAATATACAAAATTTATTTTTAAAAAATTTAAAAATTTTTTGTTTATATAATATATAAAACTATTATATAATTATAAAAGTATATACTTTTAGATTAGAAAACAATGAAAATCTTCTCAGGAGCATCTCTCAAAGCAACACAATTTTATAAGTCCAAACCAACGTTATTGTCAACCATACTCACGTCCAATATTTAAAATATTTGAATAGTTTAAGAGTTATAATGAACCTTATCAATAATAAGTAAAATAGTAAATTTAGTAATTAATTTTAACAAAATATTTATATCTTTTTATTTGTATATTTTTCTTTTAAATTGTTTAATAATTCTAAAAATTTTAGCTAATAAATATACTAGTTAGCATTTTTTTTAATAATAAAAAATTTCAAATGTGTGCCTCAAAATACATTTAAAATATGAGCATGAAGACGTGCAAGACAAACATGAGCGCACTGTAATTGCAGAGCCAACTAGCATGGTTCAGAGTTAGTAATAATGGAAGCAAATAATGGAAGCAAATTTGCAGAGAGGGAGTGAGAGAAAATTGTGTATAATTTTATAATTATATAACTGCTTTAAAATATATTTTTAAATAAACTTTCAATATTATAAAGATAAAATTATATGAAATTTTGATCCGTGTTATTATTTTTAAGTTTGTCAGTGTTATATACGAAATTATTTTAAAAAATAAAAAAAATAAGTATAATTCTTATGATATATGAAACTATTTTTAAAAAATAATAAAAATAAATTTTGTACTTGTGGAGTGTGAAATTAATGGCGACGTGATAGTCTCAAATAAAAAATAGTTTTATTTTTAAATTGTTTTAATAAATAATTATTTAGAAAACATTAAAAAAACATATCATTTAGTATGAAATGGTTTGTGGGGTAATGGTGTGATGCAGCTGCTCCTCTCCATCCAATAATTGGTTACTGCCTAATTATTGTTTTTGAAGATAATGTTAATTAAGATATGACTAAGAAATTAAATATAAAAATCTTTTTATAAAAAGTTATTATGTTTAATATTAACAATATCTATTTAGCCTCAATCTTTGACTCCTTAAAGAGAACGTGGAAAAACCAAAAGTTCCAAACACCCAAAAAGGAGGCAAAGGAAAAGCATTTCGCCATTCCCACTGGATTGATTGAAGACGACAGTTTGAAGGGGGTCGTTAAATTTTTATTTAATATAAAATTTCTTAAATCAAATAATAGTATAATACCATATTTTAATTTTAACTACCCATTTTTTTTATAAAAGAATGTATATAAGTAAAGGGTCAAAACAAATATTGAGAATAAGCAAAAGTGCAATTATATTAACGCATCGAATTTCATTAGAATTCGACAGTTAATTGTGTTTAAACGAAAATAGTACTAAAATAGGTAAAAAAAAGTCTTCGTGTTATACATCATTTTTTTCTATTTTATTTTTATTTTTAATAAAATGTTTTTATTTAATAAAAAAACTTACAAATAACTAAAATAATATTTTACTCACGTTGATATCATTTTACTTTATTTTTAAATGAAATTAAATAAAATGTCAAATTTAAAGATTTACAATTGCATCATACTTCAGTTTTATATATAAAAAAACTAACATTATTTAATTACTTATATTATCTAAGATTTTGGATAAGAATTTTACTTAAACATAAATATTTAAAAAATTAATAATAAATACGTTATAAAAATACAAATAATTACCCACAAGACATTTATTAAAAACTATAAAATACAAAATTATGTAATTCATTTACTATCAATGAGATAGTTAGTCATAGAGTAGCACGATAAAATTTGTTTTTTAATTTAATAAATATTTTATAATCATAAATATTTTTTAGTATTTTATTTTTTAACTTTAATTACTATTTTTGTCTGTGTTTTTTATTAATTTTTCAACATTTTAAAGAGAAAAAATATAATAAAATTTAAATTTAATATTATAAATGTTTATTAAAATTTTAGGTTTATATTTTTAAAATAAATAAGAAAAGTAAGCACATGAATTTTTATTTGGCTACTATATTCTATCTATTTATTTTAATTTTATGTGTGTGTGTTTTGAATTATTATATGATTCTAAGAATAAGCTATGTTAAGAGTAAGAGTGTAAATGAGTAAAAGGTTGACTAGTTAAATGCTCAAGCTAAAATTATTTATTGAATTAAATTAATAAATTCAAAAAAGTTAAATTTAATTATTTATAAGTCAAGTTTAAATTTATAAAACATGATATTAATAAGTTTACACACACGCGCACACTATTATTTATTTAATTTTAGTTTTTAAGAATTATATTTTAAACAAATAATAATTTTAAATATATATATTATTTTTATAATAAAAATTAATTTTAACCTTAAATTATTTTTATTTAGATAAAATTAAATTTTATTATTATTATTTTATTTTTTTAGCATATAAAATATTCATTAAATACTTAATTAATAAAAATTATAAATAAATTATAAACAAAGTAATAAATCGAACTAAAGTTTTGAAATTATTAATTAAGTTAAGTTTGTTTTTTAAATTTATTTCTTGTAAATAAATGAATCAAGTTTATTTTTTTATGAATCAAATTCTAATTTTAAATACTTAACACGACGCATTTATATCTTATAATACTTTAAAAAAATTTAAAAAAAAAGGATTGTACCTGAAGTAAGAAGAACTTGCCAACTTAGAGTGTTTCTACCATGCTCCAAATCAAACCTTTATGCTCTTAGTTCTAATAATTCTTAATATAACAATAAATTATTTAATATTCAATACTGATTACCTGTCACCGATATAATAAATAACATTACTATTCTTTAAATTTTAAAAGTTAATGCTAGAGTAATTTTAGTTCTAAAATTCAATACCATTGTTATCTTTTCATCAATTATGGAGTTCAAAAATTAGAGTGCTACAACAAAACTATTTAACAAATTTTGGCTTGTTCCTATGCTACTTTAACTTCATTGAAAAAATGCAAATAATTTATACATATATCAGAGAAATACTTGGACTGGGTTATTCTGTATTTATAGTATTTATTTTTATTTTTACACTTTCACTTAAATAAAAATAAAAAATAACGAACTGCCAACACATTTATTACAAAAGATTTCAAGACAAACCTGATTATTGAATGTGAGGCCACCTCCAACTACCCAAATCAATGGTGTATGTTTATACAGTTTAAATGTACATTTTTATTTTATTTTACACAGATGTGACATATATATATATTATTAAATATTTTTTAATAACTTTAAAAAAATGATCAACTGATTTAATTATTGAATTATTTTATATATTTTTATTATCGCAAATATTAAATTTTACGTAATTTAAACATTTATTAATATATTATGCAAAATTGTCTCGACTCAAAGGAGCTTCATAATTGTGGGGATTGGGATCCCCTGTCGTGCAGCAGGAGGGTCCAGCCATGTATAAAGCATTCATTGTTTACTTAATCCATCAATAAAGGAAAAAACTTAAAAATAAAAAAATGAGAAGTATAATTCTCATCTAATAAGACTAATAGTACAAATCTTTGAATAATACATCTATTAATGTTCTAATTATTTAATTATATATGTACTAAACTTTACAGGAGACTTAATTTTTTAATTAACTAGCAATCATATTTGTGAATCTTGAGGATTCCAAAAATTATATTCGTAACAATATTCTAAAAATATAAGTCTTATAAATAAAAATGCAGTATTCAAATCAAACGTACGCACTTCTTTATTTATTGACGCGATGGGATCAGATATGAGCGTGAAAGGGTACTCATTGCGGACTAAAGAAAGACACATAAACACAATAATTGAGATGTCTGACACCGTTATTTTCAACGGTTCTGGGCAAGCTGCAACTTTTTTTAAGTGTTTAAACTTGTGTTTAAAGCTAAAGTTAATAAATTTTAAATAATTATTTAAAAATGTTTATTACATTAAAGATATATAAATACAAATTTTTTAGCGTATATTCAAAATGTATAATAAATCTTAATAAATTAAAATTTCTATTATAAAGTATAATATTTAATCACATCAATGCAAGGAATTTAATAATATTTTCATGTGGTTTCTTATAAATACATTCTATATGTAATTTTTTTGTTTTTTTTAGTTATATGTTAAAATTTTGATAAAAAAATTATTTTATCAAAATTAAGATATTTAATATTATCAATATATTAAAATTTTTAAGATATTTAATATTCTTCAATATATTTATGAGATATGCAAAAAAAATTTAACATAAAGTCACTCATCACAGAAATTTTTTTTACTATAACGTCACCTACCACATCCAGTACGTGATCCAAGTATCATCTAAAAACAAAAATAATTTACTCAATTTTTTAATTATAAAATAAATAAAGTTCTTTGTATTGAAGAATATTTCACTTTTATCAAATAGTAAAATATATCAATTGTAACAAAAATTTGTATTTATATGAATTTTAAGGTTATCACACATTAAATTATATTTAAATGGAACATTTAAATAAAATAGTTTCTTTTAAACTATTTTTGAAATTTTCATTTAGAAATAACTTAATTTTAAACTTAAACCATAAAAACTCCGATTTAAAAAATATAATATTATATTCCTCCACCAAAGTAGTAGACAAAAAAGTTGTAATTTAAGTCACGTTCATCACTTTTTGTCATTGTAATTAAGTGTTAATTAATTATTATGAATATCTTTCTTATCATGAGTATGAAAAATAATAAAGAAACAGTAAGTATGTATGGATATAAAAAAAAATGAAAATACTATTTTCTTTAAAATAGAAAAATAAAATAATACTTTAATAATTTAAATGTCAACTCTATCGGAAGACAAAGTATGTGGCTGTAGTTTAAGATGTGACTTGTCCCTTACCGAATACAGAAAGTTCGTTTGTGATAATGACCAAGTTCTTTTAACATACTATGCAATTATTGGGTTTTACTTTAGTTTAAAGGTCTACCAAAATATATTAGTGTATAAGAAAAAATAGGAAACAAAATATATTATTTTAAAATTGATGGTTAATTCATTTTATATGTTTTATAGTATTATATACAAGGCACTTTTCAGATGAGTCAACAGATTTTTTTATTTTTATTTTATCTTTATTTAGTTTAAAATTTTAAATTCCCATCTTTTGAACTCGACCGTACTCAGTCATGATCTTCGCTTGCGTGATGTCTCAATCTAATAATATTTTTATTTTTGTGAAATATCAAAATATGTTTATTAAATATAGCTATACTTAAGTAAAATAAAATATAAATAATTTAAAGTGATGTAATTAGTAGTATACATTAGTCATTTTTCATTTTTTTCAAAATAGTCATTCGCATAGTGTAATAATATAACTGCTCTGTTACAGTAAATTTAAAGAGTAATTAGTGTATATAATTGCTTCTTAAAATATTAGAGAATAATTAATATATAATTATTTTCTAAAATCACTTTGAGAAATATCGCATGCCAACAGTTAACCTTTCTTTTAGTATTTATTTTTGAAACTATCGCAATCACATAAAAGTTCATAACTAGTAGTATAGCATTAACTGTTTGTTCTTATATTTTATGATTAACGTGCGTAGGTGGGATTGGAAATTAATTAATGAATTGAATTTGACTTGTGTTTCTGTTCATTTTGTGCAAGATTTAGAACTTTTAATGGACTAGAAAAAGTTTAAAAGTATAGTCAAGTACAGTTAGACTCATTTCATAATTTTTCAGAAAAATAAAAACAATATTCGTAATAAATCAAATTATTTTACAAATTCAAATTTAATTTATTTTTTTTGAGTTAATCCATTAAAATATGTTACTGGCAATAGATGACTATAATAAATCAAAATTTTTGTTTTTAAACTCAAAACAGTTCTGGTCTAAACTTTTTGTTTTACAATTTATTTTTTAAGACTCAAGCAGCTAAATTCTAGACATTAACGATGCAAGTTTAAATAATTAAAAAAATATCTTTTTTTTTTGCAAACAAATAGCCATTCATGTTAAAAAAACATAGATAAAAAACTTTAGTCCGGATGTAACTACTAAGGATGTCAAGCATTTTAAAAAAAAATCTATAATTTAAGTAAACATAAGTTTTGAAATTAATATTATGTTAATGGTACTTAGATAGTAAATTTTATGCATATAACATGTGTTTAGTTTAAATTTTTACTTCATCATTTTGCCCCTTACAAAGAATTTTCAAGATTAAAGCTATGAAAATAACCTATACAAACTAATTTAGCTCTAGCACGAGTCAAAAAATCTGCTATATAAAAAGTTGATAAGACTTAAAAACTTACAAAATAAGTAGCGTAGTCCTAACTCAATTGGCCAATTATTTTTAAAAATTTATTAAAAATATTTATTTATATCACATATTTTTTTATTATAAATCTATAAATAAATAAAATTACTTAAAAATAGATAAATAATTAAATTTATATAGTACTTAAATATTTAGAATAAATTATTATTGTTAATTAATATTAAATATAATATAATAATTTATTATCAAATTAAGTTATATATTTATTTAATTTTTACATGTATATTTTTATATTGTTATTATTATTATTTTTTATAAAATTATTTTAATAATATATTTTATAAATATTTTAAAAGTCATAATAGACACATAAAGCCAACAATAAAAAATTTAATTTAATTTATTAAATCATCTTTTATATATATATATATATATATATATGATCAGAGATAAGTCTTCATATGCATCATGCAATGCATGCCGTTATTAACAGACAAAAAATTATAGTATGCACTTTTGTGTACTAGCTAAAGCATTATGTTACCTAGTAGGTGAACTAGGAGAAGAAAGCGAGATATTTTTGGTTTTATTAATTTACTGCCTGGTGATTGTATTTATTTCACTCAAATTAGATTTCTCTACTGATGTTCTTCATGTAGTTTCAGGAGATATTCACGTTTAGCTTATATTGAATTTATGTATAGTTATAAATTTAAAATTTATTCATCTTAATTTAATAGAATTTATTTTAAAATAAAATAATTTAATTTGATAGAATATTTCATTTTTAAAAATATATTTTTATATTTAAAATATAATTTTTGATTAATTTGAAATAAAACAATTTAATAAAAAAATATTTTTATTAAAAACTAACATAATAATTATTAATTACTATTTTTAAAAAGGTAGAATAACCGATGACCCACCTCTAATCCTTACCCGTCAAAACAAGACAATTACAAGGACAGCTATTATACATATAAAAGAAACAATAATTAATATATAAAGATACATTATAATATGTTACACAAATGTTTTTAATATTTTTAACAACTCATTTATTTATTTCTTTTTATTACATAATATTATTTCATTAAACTGAAATTTAAAAAACAAACCGGTTCGCAGTCGAACACATTCTTTCTCCATCTTTAACCTTTCAAAGAAGTCCTTTTCACCTTTTCAGCAACTTTTCAGTGCAAACGGTGTTTCTCGTAAACATGCACGCCTTGGCCACTGCAGCTCGCGCCTCATACGAGGCTCCTCCAACCTCTAAAGCTTTTTTTGCACTTTTTTTCAACTCTCTCGCTCGTTGCTTCATTCTCTTCCCTTCTTCACCTTCAATCACCATTCTCACAACCCTCTCTATCTCCTTTCTCCCAACCACACCACCTCCACACTTCACTTTCACCGCCACGCCCAAATCTTCATCCACCATTGTAGCATTCATCTTCTGTTCCGCGTACAACGGCCACGCGATCATTGGCACCCCATTCGCCACGCTCTCCAACGTTGAGTTCCACCCACAGTGTGACAAAAACGCGCCCGTTGACGCGTGGCGTAGAATCGCCACTTGCGAGGTCCACGACATAACTACCATGCCTCTCTCTCGTGTCCTTTCAACAAACCCTTCAGGCAAATACGACGTCGTATCAGCAACATCGCCACCATTGTTAAAAAACGCTGCCGAAGCATTAGCGTCGTTCGGCACACGAACCACCCACACGAATCTCTGGCCACTGAGTTCTAACCCCCAAGCCAACTCGGTTTGTTGCTCCATACTTAAAACACCACCACTCCCGAACGAAACAAACAGAACCGAACCTGCGGGTTGGTTATCGAGCCAACCGAGACACTCAGTTACGGTTTCGGTTACCGGTTCGTACTCTTTGATTACCGGTCCAATGGGGTAAACCGGTGGAATTGGTATGTTGCGGTAAAACGAATCCTCCCTCAGTGCTTTAAACGTGACGGGTTCAAGATCTTGCCACGTGTTCATTAAGATCCCTGCTGACATAGGCACGCGACTCACGTGATAAAAATACCATTTATATTCATCGTTCTTACGGCTCGTGATTTGGTCTAACAAGTCCTCGGTTCGGATCGGTTTGCAACCGGGTACCTGAACCGGTTCTGGAAGGTCCACGAATTCTCCCTCCACGTCACGGTCGAGTTGAGGGAGAAAAAGGGATAAAGCGAGCAAATGTGCGGAGGGAGTGAAAAAAGTGAAGATGGGAATGTTTGGAATTTGATCCAAAGCTTGGGTACCGAACAAGTCGATTATGAGGGCTTGGGGTGTGTTTGGGAGTTGCTTGAGAAGTGCGTTTATGTTGCGTATGTTTTCTTGGAGATTGAGACAAACGCGGGTTAAGACTGGGGTTTGGTCGTTGACTACTAAGGAGAGGTCAACGGGTGGAAGATCGATGACGTGGATGTTTGGAGGGAGGTCTGGTGAGTGGAGGATGCGGTTTTGGACAGTGGAAGCTTCGGTGGTGATGTTAAGGAAGGTGACGTGGAAGTTATGGTGTGTGACGAGCAACTTTGAGAGTTCTAAGAGAGGTGTGACGTGGCCTATGCCTGGACTTGGGAGAACCACAATGTCGCATTTTATGGCTGCATTGCCATTGCCATTGCCATTGCCATAGCCATTGCCCACAGTTCCCATGATGGCTATGAATGTGTTTTTTGGTGTCTTAAGAACTGAAAGCCAACACTCTCCTGCAATGTTGTTATGTATGTGAATGATGGAAGGAGAATGCTCCATATAAAGAAAGTGGAGCATGCAACTGTAGCTTTGGGAAAAGATATGAAGAAGAATTCCAACCACATGTTTTCTTGTACAGTTGGAAATTTATATTTTAACTGTATATTTCTAACACGTGCAAGCAAAAATTAAGAGCTAAAAATAGCTGTGTGATATTATGCGTGCCATAAACTGGCAACACAATTTTAATATTTTTTTTAAATCACAAAATTCTTTGTAAAATTTATTACATAAATAGAATTTACATAATTTTTTGATTTTAAATAAATTTTAATTAATGATAAATACGGTATTTAAGATAGTGTAGAGTTAGTATTTTAAAATAAATTAATAATTTAAATAATAATACTGATTTTTTTAGTATACTTTTCTCATATAGAAAAATTAAAAATTTATTTAAACTTATAAAATTGTATATGAAATTCGATACAATTATTGAACTCAGTAACTGTCATTTTTGCATTAGATAAAATGATTTTTAAAAAAGTTATCATCCTAAACTGATTTTCTGTGTTAAAGTAATCAAGAAAAAATTGTTTAAAAAATGTCAGTTCTAAATTCATGATCGAATCCGTGCACTTCTAAAGTGAAGTGAAGTGTCGGGCATCCAGTAGGCAAGAATATATGGGGAAAAGAGAAAGAGAAGAAGACGACAAAAGATAATTATTTCATTTACAATATTTATGAGAGTATTATATATTTTTAAAAATTAATAATTATAGTTTTTTAGTATATATTTAATATAAAATATCATGTCACAGTGAAAAGATATAAAATATATTCTTTTATATAGTATCATACACATTACAATATAAAAGATTGTGTGTATTAGAAATGATATATTTATATACAAATAAAATAAATAAATTTAATTAAAATATAAAATTATATAATTATTTTTAAAATTTCATATTTTAAAATATTATATAATTTTTATAATTTAATTTTTGTTATTCATAATATCTAATTGTTTGATTTTCCTTTTCAGATAAATGAGGGAAGACTTGGCGTGCATTCTGGTCAGTGCATGGATGCAAAAACTTTGGAGCATTTGTTATGGTTTCAAATTAATATAAATTTTATAATAAATAAGGATATCTAAAAATTAATATTTAAAAAATATTTATAATATTTAAGACAAATATTAATAATTATTTATTATAAATAAACTAAAAGTAGTATTAGGTGTCATTCATTGATATCATGCAGCCGTCAAATTCAAGTTTGATGCCCTCACTCATCCTTCTTGGGCCTCATGGTTCAATAAGCGAAACCTTGTAATAAGGCCTAACTAGAAGGTGGATACAACCATTCTTGGCACGAAGAAAAACATTGCGAGCAACATGATTTTTTTAAATATAATTTTATGAAAGTTAAATTTTGTCTTATAAATTAACTATTTTTTAAAATTTTATTTTAGCTCTTTAAAAAATATATTAATTTCAAAAAAATGTGTTGAAAAATAAGTTTAAAATAATATATAACCAAATTTTTATTGGTGTGAAAGGTGGCTCTATTGTAGCAAAAATTGTAAAAATATTGATATTAGTCTTGAAGAGTTTTACATATTTTTATCTTTTATCTTTGTGTCAAGTAAAGATGAAAAACGTTAGAAATTTATTAGAAAGTATAAAAATTATAGTAGCCTCATTTTTTATTTATTAATTTTAATTTATATTTTGTTTTTGATAAATTTAAATCACAAATTATAAAAATATTTAAAAGAATAGATAAAAAGTGTATTCCTAATTCAAGAGTGCACCCATTATGTGTATATTGCTATTCTATCAAAGGGTGGTAAATTGAGTGGTGTAGGATGGATTGCTTCACATAATTCACTAATGCTGGATAAGATTGAAAGTTGTAATGTCTTGAGTTTTGTAAACTATTTTGACTATTAATATGAACATGTGAGTTTTTATTTGAATGTGTATTTGATGAATACGATGATGTAAATATATGTGTAGATGAATATATATAAATATAATTGTGGATATTGATTGTAGGTTGATAATTGGGTGTGTTTGAAATTGATTGAAAAATAGGCTAAGAGTGTGCTGCAGGAGCATTCTTGCTGTAGCGAGAAGGTCCTGGGCAAAGAGAGTGCATCTATTGCGTTTTCTCTGCAGCAAAGAAGGTAACAGAGGATGGTGCATTTCTGGTTGCAGTCTTGATGTAGCGAGAGGGTCTCGCTATAGCAAGATTATGCAAAAACCAGAATATAGATTCGTCTAAGATTTTCTCCACAGTAAGAAGGGGTCTTGCTGTAGCGAGAGTGTTGCGACTCTTAGGGTATTTGAGGGGTTAGGGTTCATAAAATTCATTTTTTCACCTTTCCTCTCATCCCTTCTTCGATTCTCTCGATTCCTAGTCTTATTTTACCGATTAAATTATTTTCAAAGCCATTCGTGAGTTAAATTGAAGGTTGGAATCATGTTTGGAGCGTTTGGGGGTGAGTTTAAAGAGTTAGGGTTTACGTTTTTCATTCTTTCTCTATTCTTCTCGGTTTCTTATAGGGTTTTTCCTATATTTAGGATGAAAATTCGTGTGGAAAGCACTTCCATTGTTAATTTTGTGTTTGGGTCTTCATTACAAGGTAAGGAGGACTCTACCCTATCTCTGTGCATTAAAAATCCGTTAGATTGTTGTGTGTGAGAATGTGATTGAGATAGGATGTAGGAACATGTGTGTTTTGATGGACATTTCGTGTTAAGCATGACATATTAGACATTGGTTGATATTGCATGATGAAATGAATTTGATTGTGATTAGATTGTGATGAGATTTGTGTGATTAATTATGATGTGATTGACATTGAATATGATTAGTGATGAAATGGTGATGAAAAGTGTATGGTTGGCTACAATGTGGTTGAAATGTGTAGACATGCCATTTGTTGATGATGAATGATATGAAATGGTTGAAAGTGTGTGGAAATGACATATTAATTGTGATTGTGATTGTTTTTGAAAATATGAAAAATTATGAATGGTTCAGTGATACACTTAGGTTGAGAAAGATAGAGTGGTAGAAATACCTTGGAGAAGAGAGGGTGGTGGTAACACCAATAATGAGCGTTGGTGCACTACAGGCCACACACTTTCCTCTTGACTCAGCCTTTGACTAACATCTTTGCTAGGGAGCCTAGTATCGCACACGTTGTATTCGTGGAGCAAGGGCTATCTAGAATTGAGTAAGTCCCCGAGGTTGAGGGCGTCAGGAAACTGTGATGATAGTGCCACAGTGAGCGCACATGTGTGTGAATTATTTGATAGTGCAATTAACGCACCTGTATGTGAATTGGAATATAATGTTGAAAGTGTTACTTGTGTTTGTTGATACATGATTTGAATTATGTTAGTAAATGTGTGAGACGTGCAAGGTGAGTTTCTGTGTTTGTGTGTGATAGTGTAGAGTACTCACCTTTACATTTATTTTTTAGGTGACCAAGACGATTATCACAAATAGTAGGGATGAAACTGCTATATGACTTAGGAAATTTCTTTTGAAGATTGTGATTATTTAAATTAGTCATGTATCGTTTATTTTGATGCAAATTTGTAACACTCCCTTATTTTGAAATACTTTATTGAAACCATATATTGGAAACCATGAATGAAATTTTATTATTTCCATTTATTACGAAATTAATTTATTTTAGAAATTAAAGTAAGGTGTTACAAAAGTTTTATGTTCAATGCCCTTAGTTTGTCTCGTTTTACTTTGTTAAAATATAAGTTAATGGCAAATTAGGTAAAATATAATTATTTCTTAGTTAAATATTAATTTTTTAATATTAAGATATTATTTAAAATTTGTATAAGTTTTTATAAATTCTTGTATTAATTTTAGGTGATTAGTTTATTAATTCATTGGTCTATCAACTTATTTTTTATTTTTTTAATTTATCTTTAGTAGACTTATTGATTAGCTTACTAATTCACTCTTAAACAGATGAAACTAAAAAATATAAACCAATTTAAGAAATGAGGTAAGGTGAGAAAGGTTAGTTTAAAAAACTTAACAAGACCAACTTACTATAATTTATTAAAACTTTTTTATTTGGCTTGTGATTGCCTCATATGTTGGAGAATATATTTTTTTGGTTTAATTAAGTATTTGTTTAATGTATTTTTGTGCTCTTACCTTTATTCATGCCTCCTTAACCCATTCCCGTCCTTATTAAACTTCAATGAAAATATCATTTTTTTTTTGTATTTTTTTATTAGGTCTTGGTCATAAGAGAAGATGAGTAGCACAATGATAACAACGAGCTCAAATATGGTACCAACCTTAATCCACCATCATTGCCTATTTTATTGTCTTTTCATTTGACCCCAAGGCTCAACTAAAAAATTAAAATAAAATTAGATTTTTGTTGAGTTTCGAAGGGTGAATAATGAATTATAGAAGTGTGAATGAGTAGCAAGAGAAAACAAGAATTTTTTATTAGAATTAAAAAGAAAAAGGAGTGAGGATAAGCGTAAGAGAATGAAGAGAAATAAGAAAATTTTTGTCCATATTCAAAGGGAGAGAGAAGCAAGTCATGGAAGCATGTAAAAGGATATGAGGAGAAAGTAGAAAAAAAATGATAACAAAAAATTCTTAAAAGCACACTGTGTTTCTACTTGAGTTCAAAAAAATAAAGAAATGAACAATAATTTTTTAAGAGTCAATGTTTTGTAAAAATAAATTTTTAGTTATATAGCAGTTTCATCTATCTTTTCATTGAGTCTGGTGCTGATCGTATTGGTTACCTGAAAAAAATGTAAGGGTGAGTACTCTACACTATCACACACAAGCACAAAGACTCACATTCGCATATTGTACATATTCAATACCAAATTCAATCATGTATCAATTAATACATTCATCACTTTTCAACATTTCATACCAATTCA